CCTGAGGGTGCAGGGGACAAGGGCCAGCCAGCCTCCCATAACAATGTCCAGCCCCACAGAGGATGCCGCTGAGACAGACACTCAACTACCACAGACACAGACCTGCTGAAAAGCCATTTAACGTTTATACAGACAGCACTTAACACTCAGGCTGCTCAACTCAGGACTCCCACTCCTAGGAATTTCCACAGGAAACTGGAGCCATGCAAAGCGTTTACCCACAAGGATGCCCACGGTAGCACCGCCCCAGGGGCCAGAGGCGGCATCCACATCGATGGGAGAACCAGTGACGGGCACCGAGGGGGACGCCAAACAACACTGACGGGGAACTTACATCATGGTTCCAATAGTAGGAAAAAAGTACATGGGGAAAAGGATGACTTTTCTTTTTTAATCCTCACCTGAGGATATTTTTCTATTTATCCTCAGATAGAGTGAGAGGGAGGGAGGGAGAGAAGCATCAATGTGAGAGGGACACATCGACTGGCTGCCTCCCACACGACCTGACCAGGGCTGAGGACAAACTGCAACTGAGGTACACGCCCTTGGCCAGAATCGAACCTGTGACTCTCTGGTCCGTGGACCGATGCTCTAACTGCTGAGCCAAAGTGGCTAGGGCAAGATGACTTTTCTTTAATACCTTACTCCCATCTATCACAATCATTATATTACAATAACAAAAAGGAGGGATATTAAAGAAACACCTGGAGCCCCTTCAGGACCACAGATGCCTCTACCCACCGCCTGCCACTCCCCAAGTGTACCCACACCTTCAGATCTTCCACCAGGAAAGAAACTATGGAAAGGGCTTCTCGGGTCCCTGGCCCCGGGCTGGGAGCTGTGCCCACCAGGCAAGGTGTTCTGACCCAGGAGCAGACAAGGGCCCAGCCCAGAGCCAGCGCCGCAGCACAGGGTCCCCCACACTCTGCAGGGCCCCACGTCTCACCGACAGAGTACCTCCGAGGGCAGCGCTTTAGGACAACACGGGCCGGAGCCCGACGACTGCACCAGCCCGGCACCGCCTGGAAGGACCTCGCGAGTGTCTGGAAGTCTGCGCAGAAAGCAAGCTCTCGTGCATTTGCTCGAAGGGAAAAGGTTTTTCTTTTCTTTTTAGTAAGAAAAAAATTTAATTCTGAACATTTTGACCTCAGATTCCTTCTGTCTCAACCCAAGTCCTCTCCAGGTGATTGAGGCCACGGTGACACCCCAACCAGGTCCAGTAGGTGGCAGGGCCCTGCTCACCGGTCCCAGCCCTGTGCTCGAGTGCCATCGGCCCCACTGCAGGAAAGAAGTGCAGGTCTGGTCCCTAGATAGCACAGATAAGAAGACAGTGAGGGCAAGATGGGAGCTGCCGTGAGCCGCAGGCCCGGCAGGAAGCACTCCAGGCTCAGTGTGCCCAACCTGGCCGACCCTGCAGAGCCCCGAGGTTCTCTGGGACCGGCACTGCACTCAAGGCCAACTTCTTGAATTTGACTCATCTGGGTGAAGCCAGCTGAACACAGCTCCTGGAGAGGCTTCCAGGACCAGAACACGCGGGCAGCACCCGCTCGGCATCCGGCCAGTGCCGGCATTCTACGCACATGATGGGGTGCAGGGCGGCCAAGGGCACCCAGGGCCACAGAGCACCGCTGGGGGCTTCTCGGAGTGAGAGGCAGCGGAGCTGTGGCTGCAGGGAGGGGTGCTGCCGGCAGAGGGGGGAGGAGAGGAGGGCAAGCTGGGAAGAGGGCAGCACAAGCATATTTCTGGAACCAGAGAGGACTTCGGGATGGTGGCGGGGCTGCATGATCAGAGATGAGGCTGCGGAGCCGAGAGGGCACAGTCCACTGACGCCAGCTCCCTGGCTCTGTGCCTCCCGCAAGGAAACGTCTCTGCAGAGCAACATTGAGGCTGGGAACTCCCAGGGGCTCCCAGGGGCCCTGCCACAGAGAGAACGAGGCCAAACCCAGGATCCCATGAGGGGGCCCAGAAGCCACATTAGGTCCCCAATGAAACCCACATGCTTTCAGGGGCATTTCCAGGGCAATCCAGGCAAGGCCCCATGAGCGTCTTCTCTCACATTCAGGCAGCTGGAATGAGGAAGGAGGGTTCTGGCCCTTAGGGGTACCACCTCAACCAAGAAGACACAGAGTGTGGGACATGGAGACACTCTAACCAAGGTCAGCCACCTGCCTGCTGCCCATGGGTAGGCACACCTGTCCAAGGTCAGTGCTTCCTGAGGGGCCTTACGAGCACTCCTGGCTGACGGACACAGGACGAGGGGACCTGCCCGTGCTTCACTCACACCCCTGTCATTCTCGTCCAAGTCAGGAAGCACTGAGTCGCCAGAAGTCCTCAAGCATAGTCCAGGAAGGCACTGAGGACCTGCCCATCTCCTGGTCACCTCACACAGGCCCACTCAGAACCACCCAGGCTGACCCTGAGATGGAAGGCAGCTGTGAACTCTCGTTTCCTGAACAAGGACCACCTCTCCTAGGCCTCAGAACACCGAAGACGCTGTCACCAGGAGCGTGGAGAAGCTTGGCAGAGAGGTTCTAGAAGTGACCCCTCCTGACAGAAAGGCATTTGTCCAAGTCCTGCAATATGCCTGGCCCTGAGAGGAGAAAGAAAGGGTCCTCACTCTGGTCCCAGACCCCAAAGGGCCCTGTCAGGGCAGCACCACTCCTCAGACACCAGCTGGGGGTTGCTCCAACACCCACAGGGAGAGTGGGTCCTGGCCCTACTGGGAGGGTGAAAGTGACATCTTAGATTCATGAAACCAGTCACCACCAATCTCGGGCACCCCGCCGAGGCCAGGCACAGCACCCGTCTCCTGAGAGGTGCTGGGTCCCTGAGAAGAACGGGTGAATTGCACCTGACCTCCACAGACTAGGGGAGCACTTGGCAGGTGACCCTCAGGGCAGGCGGGAGATTACCTCGGCCTCTCAGGAAGCTCATTAAAAGTGCAATCTATCTAGAGCCTGGAACAGAAATGAGAAGAGAGGAGAGTGAAGACGAAGCTGTCACCTGCCAGGTGGTGTGATGGTCTCCGGAGTGGACAACAGAGCAAGGGCCTCAGAACACCCCGGAGGCTCCTCCTCCCCAAGGCCTGCTGCTGAACTCAGCACCTTTCAGCCTGGAAGAGGTGGCCAGCAGCATCTAGCTGACCAGGCAGCACAGAGCATTTACTTCCTGTGCTTGTCACACACCCACCCTGGGGTGGGGCACTGGGGACCCCTGGTGCAGCAATCAGCTCCACAGGATCCTCCCACTTCTGTCTGTGAGGGAGGCTGCTCTCGTGGACAAACTCCAGAACAAAGAGGCCAGGGGCCCTGCACCCTGGTGACCCAAAGGGAACGTCCACCTCAAGAGGTGGGGCTGTAGGAAGAATGTCATGGTTGCAAACCGGGGCCAAAGCCACGTCCACTGGGCAGCTTGATGCAGGCCTCATGGCAGCGACCAGAGCAGACTCTGCACACTTTCCCTAAAGGGGCTCTCTGGAGCCAACTCCCCTTGGCAGAAAGGATGTTCTGTCCCCATTCCCCGCTCCTGTAGGCAGGGAGGTGCCCACCTAGGCCTATTTGGGTTGGGCAGTGCCCAGTTCCAGGGGCCTACAGCTTGCTGGGAAGGAGGCAGCAAGTCCCCAGGCCAAGCTCAGTCTAGCACAGGGGGGCTGAACCATGGGGGCTGGGTATCATGTCAGGAAAGTGCATCTGTGCAGAACAGGCCAAGTGAGGGCCAGAAGCAATGCCTCAGGGGCCCTGGATAGCCAGATCTGTAAGCACTGCGGCTTTTGGAGGCTGGGAATATCATCTCTCAGGCTGAGAGCTGTTTTTTTTCTGGGGGGAGGCAACACACAGCCAAGGGAAAGTGGGAGGATACCCCTGCCCCCCAAGTCATGTCAGCTCTAGGCTCCAAATTCCTGACCATCTGGGAAAGACCGCAGGAAAAGGACCAAGGGGCTGAGCAGGGAAAGCAACGTGTGGACACGCTCAGCTCCGGACCGGTCCGCTACCCAACTTTCATCCCCAGGATGCCCAGAGACCTTGCACCTTCCTGACACAGTGCGGACAAACATGGCCCCAGCGGCCCAGCTCCCACCCTGGCTGGTTTGGGAATGCAGTCCTAAGGCACAAATGGAAGGTGCACCGAAGGCAGGCAGACTGCACTCCTGGGCCTTCCCAGCCCAGACACTGGAAAGACGGTCCCACAGAGCACCAACACCAATGGGAGGAAAAGAAGCCCCATTTTAACCATCCAAAACCCAGCCCCGGGTTTCTGGCTACAAAGTGATTCCCAGGAGAGTGGCCCCCCACGCAGGTCAGACCTGTGTCTCCAAACTCCACATAAATGGAAGGCCCGGGAAGGTGTCTGGCTGCACCTGCCCCAGACCAGCTCAGCTCCCCCGAAGCTGGCTGTTGGCCCACTTTTGTTCCTTTTAGAGCAAACTCACACCTGGTTCTGGCCCAACTCAGAGAGCAAGCAGCACCGCCTCCTCCCCGCCCCCAGCCCCAGGTCACACTCGGGCCTTTGTTCTACCTGCACAAACGAGAAGGCAGAGCCAACCCCCTTCCCGGGCAGGGCCTCCCCAGCCCCCTCAGGACAGCACGGGGGCCCCCAGGTGCAGGGGGAGAGACACTCCACTTTTCACTTCCGCTTTAGGTAAAAATAGCTGACGAGAGCGGTACAGGGAAGCGAAGACACCAGGTGGGCTACACCCACACAGGAACCCACTTTCCTGCCCCAAAGACGAAAGGGCGGCCTGGATTTATAACCGGGGCGGGTACCATTGCACGCCGGCCCGCGATGACCCGGCGGAAGCCCAGGCACTGCACAATCCGGTGGGCGAAGGGGAAGAGTGGAGACCAGAGGAGGAAAGGAGAGCCTGGTTGGATGGCTAGGAGCCTGGTTGGATGGCCAGGGGCCTGGCCCGGCGGAGCTGTGGCGAGTGGGCTTCCCAGGGGGCAGGGAGGGAGAGCGGGCCCAGGCAGCACGGGGCAGGGTGCGCAGCGGGCGGGCCTCACCTGGGCGTGCGCAGCGCGGCGGGGTCGCGGCGGTCCAGCACGCCGGGCACGCAGTTGGTGAGCTCCGTCCAGTCGGCGTGCAGCCCGCAGCTCCAGCCGGTGGAGAAGCGGGAGAAGAGCCAGGTCTCGCGGCGGTTGGGCCGGTAGCAGGTGCACTTCTTCTGGCCCGGCCGGCAGTCGCAGGGCACCTCGAGACGCACGTTCTGCACGAGGTGGCGGCCGAAGGTGGTGCCGCCCGTCTTCTGGATGTGCAGGAAGACGATCACGTCGTCGCCTTTCATGTCGAAGCGCAGCTCGCGCTCCAGCTCGCGCACCGGAAAGTAGTACTTCTTCTCGTAGTGCGGGTCGGGCGTGGGGAAGAGGTCCAGGTCGTCGGGCGGCGCGCGGCCGCCGGGCGCGCCCAGGCTCAGCCCCGGGCCTGCGTACTGGTACAGAATGAGCATGAAGCACGCCGAGCCCGCCACCACCAGCACGAACTTGCTGGCGCGTTCAACCATGGTCCTGCCGCCGGCGCGCCGCCGCCGCATGTGTCACCATCGCCGGCGGCCGGGGCGCGGGGCCTGCGAGGGCAGGGGGCGCGGCCGCAGCTACCTCCGCCGCCGCCGGCTCCGGCCCGGCCTTGCTACTCGGCACTCAGAATGCCCGCGGAGGCCTGCGCCCCGGCCCTGCGAGGCGCCATGACTGCTCTCCACGCGTCCCGGGCCCCCAGCCCCCGGCCGATCCCGGGCTCGGCTCCGGCTCGGCTCCTGCCGGGCCTCAGCCCGTACCCCAGGGGCCTCACGCCACCGCGCCGCGCCGAGAGGACTGCGCAGCCCCGCGCGCCGCCGCGTCCCCGCAGTCCCCCCGCCCCGCCCTCGGCCCGCCCCCGTGGCGCCTCTTGACGTTACCGCCCGCGCCGGTCCGCGGCTCCGCCCTCAGAGCGCGCGGGGCAGCAGGCCCAGGCGCGGCGCTGGGGCGCTCTGCGGCCTTGGGGAGACCTCTCCAGGCAGGGCGCCGCCGACTTCGAACCGATTCTCGTGCGCAGAGGCCTGGGGGGACGTGGAGCCGGGAAGCAGCGCTCTTCTAGGAGGGAGGGCGCCTCTGGGCCTGGGTTCTCCCCCGCCCCGCCGCGGGTCTCGGCTGCGGGTGGAAGCGCTTCTTCCCCACTTCTCGGGAGGTGAGAGGCCTTGACCTTGCACGCTGGATGCTCCAAAGTTCCAAACGCCCAAAGGCTGGTTGCACTTGGAGGGACCTGGGGACAGTGAGGGTCCTAGCTGAGAGGCGGGCAAGGGCCCGAGAGGAGGGGGAGGATTGGACTCCGGCCGCGATGTGACCCCCTCACTCCCCACCCCGTGGCTTTGGGTCACTGAGCCTGAGCCTCTTGTGGACAGATGCTGAAGTGTCCGCAGAGACCCTTTTGCCAGCTTAATGCAGTTCCTCCTTTGCAGTGTGCATTTTTTCTTCTATGATTATTATAACCCCAATGAAAAAGTTGTAAAAAGTTGAGCCAATATTTAAAAATTGTGAGAGTCCACAAAAACATTCCCGATGGGACCCTGTGCTGGGCTTCTCAGATGCCTCCTGTACAGGCAACTAGAGTGGGCTGTGCCCATATTCACATTGGTAGCACCTCCACTGAGGAGGAGGGGGGCTGGAGTGTAAAGTGTCCTGCGTGTAATGTCAGCATGGGTCAGCAGGGATGGTCCTAGTGTTTTGACTGAGGCCAAAATGGCCTGCAGGAAGGAGTCCAGCTGCCAGGCCTGGGTTCAAATGCTCACACCATCCCCTGCCAGGGGGCCCTTGGTTTCCTTCTGTTGGGGTTCCTGAAAGCAAGGGGGGGGGTGTTTGTAAGGGTTTATTGTGTCAATTATATGTCAGTAAAACTGTTAAAAACATTTTAAGTCACACCACAAAGTCCTAGAATAAAGCCAGAGAACTGGAAAAATCACTCCCGACACCCCAAAACTCGTGAAGATGGGAGCAATTAATTGTCAAAGGGTGATGAAGGAACAGCCCTCGGGGCAGAAGGATGCGGGGTGCGGTGTCCTGAACACCACCGAGAAGGACTTAGAGCTACCGGGGGTGAGGAGTTAGGGAGTCCTGGTGTGACCTGGTCCCAAAGTCCCAGTCCACCCTTAGCTGCTTTAAAACTGCCCTGGCCCAGGGAAGCTTGGGTTGGCCTCATCAGACTTCCTTGTAATGATTCCTTCCTGCTAGGAGTGGGGTTGGCACAGGTGGGGCTGGCACAGGTGTGCTAGGAGATGCCCACCATTACCTGCAGTCATTTGACCCCTTTTTAGACTGAGTCCTGGGGAGTCTTCCTTCATGGGCTGGAGGCTGAAGCCCAGGCCTGGAGGGCAGAGCTGCCCTGGGCCAGCCATGAAGCATCCTTACCCAGATGGCAATCCTCTCCCAAGTGGTAAATTAGAGTTGAGGCTCCTCTCCATTCAGAACGACTGTATGCATCATTCTTAACCCCTCAGCAAGCCTGTGGAATATACTGACACGCATTTTGCAGAAAAGAAAACTGAAGCTCAGATGGAGGGAAGACCCTAGGTAAGGTCACATGGCTGGCTGGTGGTCTCTTCCCTCTGACCTGGGAGGACAAGGTGGATAAATCCTCAACAAAGCCCACCCCTGCCCTTAGCCCTGGTGTTGGGCCCAGCATGGAGCCCACAGGTGTCCTCCAGGGTGGGCCAAGGTCCTGTTTTGTGAGAGTCACAGAGCCGAGATTCTGATCTTGGGCTGTCTGGCTCCAGAGCCCAGCCCTTACCCACCCAGCACTCACGGCAGCTCCCCATGCCTGGGGCCAAGTCGGGGGTGTCGGTCTGTGAGAGGATTTAGAGGGGCCACTCCTCAGCTTCCTGACCACCTTCTCTGCCTTCAGATAGGAAGGTGGGTCCAGAGTGCTCAGCAGAGAGCTGGAGTGTCATCTAAAAGCCATCAAAACCATCTGTGCTTGGCCTGTGACAGTCTCACTGTCCCAATGGGGAAACTGGGGAAGAAAGGCCTAACACGGTCCCCAGTGGCTGGCTGCTCCTCCCATGAGCTTTGATGGAAGCTGGAGCAGCCTGACCCACAGATAAACAGCTCCTTCAAGGAAGCTGTTTAATCCAGCTTCATACCTGCTGGGATGGCGGAGGAAACCCCCTATATAGCCAGAGAGCTCTTTCTACAGTTTTCCTAGGAGGAAGAAAGTCTTCCTCTTTGGCTGTGGGATTTCACTCCGTTTCCCCCTTTGATCTAAGCTCTGCACAGCACCGAGCTCCCAAGGCTGCACGTGAGGCTCTCCCATCTCAAAGTCAAATCAGATGTGTCACTAATCCTGAATCAAGCTTCTTCCATCTGTCAAAGTCTGGAAACGGAGGGAATGCAGACTGCTTCATGGGCTGGCCGGGAGGCGTTCAGCAGGCTCCGCGGTGTTGGACCTTCAGGGTCGTGGCTGGAAAACGAGGAACCATGCACATTATAGGGCAGCTGTGAGTTTGCATTGAGGTGGCAGAGCACAGTCAACCCCCCACACTCCGTGGGTCCTCTCCACCTGCTCTCTCCTTCCCTGATCTGCTGGGCAGCAAAGGTTCCCCTTAGTCCTAAGGTTGTGCATGAGAACAGGAGCTCTAATGGTTTACTGGAGGCAGCGTACAGCTCCGAATGTTTTCAGGCAAACGCAGTGGCAGCTGTTCTGCTCTGGGAATGTCCTTTGTCTCCTGAATACCCCACTTCATACATTCTTCAATGTATGATCTTTAACTTCATGTCCAAAAAAGGAAAAGGAGCGCCGCTAGTGGTAGGAAGTCACCATCAAATAAAAACAAGTCCTTGGCCCTGCTGGTGTGGCTCAGTGGTTGAGCCACGACCCATGCACCAAGAGGTTACCAGTTTGATTCCTGTGGGCCAAATCCCCGGTGGAGGGCATGCAGGAGGTGGCCAACTGATGTTCTCTCTCATCCATGTTTCTATCTCTCTCCCCCTCTCCATTCGTCTCTAAATTAAAAAAAAAACAAAAAACAAAAAACAAATAAAAAAACAAGTCCTTGAACTTCTCCGGAAAAGCTCAAGCCGCGATAAAATTCCTGATTTAGGAATGGAAGGTAATTTGCTTTAAAGGTGAAATAGCCTCAGAACCCAAATGCAAGCTCCCCCCACCCCTACCCACCATGCTCCTCAAAGTCTGAGAACCAGGAGATCACCCAGCAGGCCTGTCCTGGGAGGCAGGCCCAGCCGACTCGCGCGCCCACTCCGCAGCGAGGCGGTTTTCCCACTGCGCTTCCCTCCTCCCCTCCTGGTCTGTTTCCCGCGGTTTCCGAAGGGGAGGTTGGTGGCTAAGTCTGTGTTCACAGCCTTCCCCGAGGGTGACCCTGCTTCTCCCGCGGGGCGAAAGAAGGGGTTGATTTCGGGACAAACTTTTCAAGGGGAGTCTGGATGCGTCGCCTGCGATGAGACCCACCTTCGGGCGGGTCCTGGAGCGGCGAGCGCTGGCCCGGATCCGGGGGCGGCCCAGCAGGACCGGGAAGGTGGGGAGCGGGAGCGGGGGCGGGGCGGGCGACTCGTGGCCACTCTGGTTTCAACCAGGAGGCACCTCTCCTGGGTCTCCGCGTTCGCCTTGTGCTCCTCCAGCCAGTGCCTCCACTGCCCCCCCCCCCCGCCCCGACCCCTTCCCCCCCCCCGCCCCGACCCCGTCCCGACCCCGTCCCCGTGTCCTGGAGAGGCTTGCCCACCCGTGTCAGGTCTCCTCCGGGAGCTCTGCCACCTGCCGCCCCCCCCCCCCCCCGCCGCCGCGCTGTCCCGGTGCCCAGGTGCCCCTGCAGCAGGATACTCAGGATTTGGGCTGCAGCCTTCCTGCCCAGCCCCGCGCAGAGGCCTGCCCAGTGTCTCCCCGGGGCGGCCGCTGTGTGGGTTGAAGGTCTCAGGCTTAAAGAGGCCAAGGGGACCACCTCTACCTGCCCCACCTCTACCCAGACTTTGAGGGGCCCTCATGCCAGACATGGGGGAGGGGTGATCAGAGCATCGCTCTCCAGTTCTCTCGTGTGTCCTGACCGCGAGTGGAGCGTGACTGTGGCTGGAGGGTCCCCTGAGCAGCACGCTGCCCACGCCTTTCTGAGCAGGCGGGGCCTCTTTTTCATTTTCTTCTCTTCCTCACTTTTCTTTGTGTTCTCTCCTGCTGGATTGGAAGGCTTCCTGAAATCCTTTTGGGAAGAAGGTGGGAGTATAAATAATAAGGATCAGAGCTATTCAGGTGGAAACAACATGGCCTGGATCTTCCGCCTGTGCCCCAGAGCTGAGGTTGGTGACCTAGTTGTGGCCCACGCGGGAAACTGGTGTGGCCCTTCCACCGCTGTTGCCCTGCAAAGCCTAGATGACTGTCCACCTTGGCTGACCACGGACACCTGGGAGCTTGGCCCTGCCCTTTCTGTAGATGGTCAGGAAGGGACCCGCTTGCCTTGTTGCCTGGCTTGGACTCCTTGTTCTGGGTCTCTCTCCCTCCCCACCTGGACCGTGTGTGTGTGTGTGTGTGTGTGTACACGCGCGCGCAGCGGGGCCACCCTAC